TAAAATTGTGTTACCTCCAGCACATTTATTCTAAATGTACATCTAATGGCTTTTCCTGACTCTTTAGAGTCTATACTACTTTACCTGCCAAATAAACTCCTGTTGTCAATTTTCAATCTCTCCCTATCTACTGGGTCATTCTCTGCTTCCTATAAACCTGACCAGGTCTCTCCCATTTGTGAAGAAACTTTGCCTGACTTATCATCCCTTCCAATGGTCATCCTACGTTCCTCTTTTCTTTCATAATCAAAACTAGAAAAAATGACATTGTCTTCACTTCTTTAGCTCTTCTCTTACTGTCTTCTCAAATCTTTACACTCTGAATTTCAACCTCATCACTCAACTGAAACTGCTTTATACAATGTTGCCAATGGTAACTACACTGCCAAATCCACTGGCCTATTTCCTCAGTCCTCATCTTTTTTTTTTTTTTGCCCTTCTACACGTAACATTTCATACTGTTAACCAACCCCCTCTAGGATACTTCCTTTTCTTTGGGTTTTAGTGACACTATTCTCTGTTGGCCTTCTTTAGTTTACTCCTCAGGCTCCTTTGCTGGAGATTATTATCCATGTCCCAGTTCCTAACAGTGGGTGTACCTGGGCCCTGTGTCCTGGGCCCTTGGTCCTCTTCTCTTCTTTCTCTATACCCTCTCTCTCTCTCTCTCTCTCTCTCTCTCTCTCTCTCTTCTCTCTCTCTTCTGATTTCATCTGCTCCCATGAGTTTTACTGTAATCTCAATGCAGATTGCTCCTAGATCTATATAACCGGTAGTCCTTGACTCTCTCCTGAGCTCTAGTCCCATATTGCCAACTGCCTACTAGACATTTCCCACTGGATGCTCCATAAGCATCTCAAATTCAACATGCCTGGGACAGAACTTATTCTCTTTACCTCATCCCCTAACCAAACCCATCCCTCTTTCCGATTTCCTATTACTGTTGAAAGCATCACCATCCTTCCAGCCACCCAGTTTCAACACTTGGGAGGCATCCTTGATTCTTCACTCTTTATCATCCCTTCAAAAATAACCATTTATCAATCTGTCAACAAGAGTTGATTTTATCCCACATTTCTCACATCCTTCCCTTTATCTGTATTTTTTTAAAGTTTCATGTATATGTTTTGGTTTTAGTTTATAAATATTTATAGATTATTCCCACTTCAGGAGAAATCTCTTTTAATGGGATAAAATGTAATATAAAATTAATAATACAATGACTTCATCTAAAAGTATAAGCAGCACTTCACATCTGTAGCACCCTTTGCCTCTCCATGAAAAAAAAAATAGTAACAGAAAACTATTCTCTCTCCCTCCAAAGCCCATCTCATTAAAAGAAAAAAAATTTCTTATAACAAATACTCATAAACAAGTAAAACAAATTCCTTTAGTTGATGTATACAAAAATACAAATGGCTCATTCTGAACCCTTAAATCCATCACATCTCTGTAATGGATAACATGTTTCATTATTATGCCCTGAGAATCATAAATAGTCATTGTATTCGTCATAGTTCATCATTCCTCTATCATCATCCACATAATCACCACCATAATTCAGATGATCATTTCTTTCTGCCTAGACTACTATAATAGTTTTGTTATTGGTATTCCTTTCTCAATTCTTTTGTCCTTATCTTTACATCTTAGAATCTCTTGTTCCTTTCAAAGGTCAGTTTAATTGTCAACATAAGGTCTGTCCTGATCCACAAGAGCTCCTAATACTCTCTGAATACTTTGAATTTACCTTGTATATATGTTACATTTACCTTAGATATATTTTATATTTACTAATAAATGTATATTAGTAGATATATATGTCCGTGTATGTTTCTCCTTTCCCGCCATTGTTTTGGTGGTCCCCTTATCTATGCTTATCATGTAACCTTTCTAAAGCTGGAAAATGTTTAATTTTTGTTTCTTTGTATTCCCTGAACCTAATGGGTACTTAATAAACACTTCTTGAGTTTCTAGTTCCCATTTTTCAAAGTTAACAGCATGGTAAATGGCTCACATAGGAGTATTAATTACACGTAGTATCTTCTCATCTTTATCTTTTCTCCTAATTTCATGTTAATTTTTACTTTTGCTCTAAAAAGTCAATTATCTGACCACCCACAGTTGAATCTGAAATTATCCTGATGTTTGTAACCAGTCATTTCCTATCAGTTAGGATATAATAAACTTCTTTTGCAGGGAGGGTATGATATTCAGTGTTCACCATGTCCAGTGCCTTCTTGAAGAAACAATTCATGATATACAGACATAAGGATTTTGTTATTTTAAAAACACAAATCATATTTTCCCAAAATTTTTTTTGCCATTATCCCAATTTTGTCGAGCCTTCATACTGAGCATTAAGGTATATGTTGATCTAGTACGGAAGATCTAATCAAGATCTCTATAGAATCCTACTATTTATTCACCTTTTTACAGCAGATATTGACATATAGGCTACTGTTTCAGTAGTCCTCTTACATAGAATCATCATGATCACTATAAGATAATCAAGTGTTCCACAAAATTGTTGCTCTTAGGATCATGATAGAACCAATTCTCCCAATTATCTTATTTGGCTCTCCAAGAAGTACCTATAAACCTCCCTTCTTTATATCTTCAGGTTTTATTTATAATAATAGAGACTAAACCTGTGATTTTCTTGATGTAGGGAACTTCCAGATTAGGAAATGCAGCCAATGAACATTTATTAAACATTTACTATATGCTGGGTGGGCAGCTAGGTGGCACAGAGGATAGAGTGCTGGTTCTGGAGTCAGAAAGACTCATCTTCCTGAGTTCAAATCCAGCCTCAGACACTTACTAGCTGTGTGACCCTGGCAAGTCACTTAACCCTGTTTGCTTCAGTTTCCTCATCTGCAAAATGAGCTGGAAAAGAGAATGGCAAACCACTCCAGCATCTTTGCTAAGAAAACCCCAAATGGGGTCATGAAGAGTCAGATATGACTGAAGACTGAAACAAATGAACAATGTACTAGGCACGGTGCTAAATAGCACGGATGGTCCCTGCTTTTAAGGAGACCACAATTTAACAGAGGTGATAACATGCAGAAAACCATAGATACAAGATATATGCAATGTAAATAAAAACAAATTCACGGATAGCACCTGGAGTAGGGAAAGGTAGTGCTGTAGGGAAGTCTGGAAAAAGCTTCCTGATCCTGAGTAAATATGTAAGAGTAGGAATAACCTTATAGTTGTAGTAAAAAGTAGGAGTGTGTTGGGGGTGGGGGAGGGGTCACGACCTCTCAGTGCTCCATATAGCCCTCTAAGACCTCAAGTTGCAGAACATTTACTGAACTGCATCAGTAAGGAGATTTTGCTCCCTGGGGACTTCCTTACACTGATGTAATCCTAGATTTGAACAATTATATACCTACATATAATAGGTTAGCATTGACATAGATCTTTAAGATTTACACACAAAATTCTCACAACAACCCTGGAAGGAAGGTGTTATTACTGTCCTCATTTTACAGAAGAGGAAATTAAGGCTGAGAGATTTAACTGATTTGCCCAGGGCCATATAGCTAGTAAGTATCTGAGGTAGGATTTGAACTGAGTTCTTCCTGCTTCCAAGTCCAACATTCTGTCTGCTGAGGCACCTTGCTACCCCAAATACCTAGAGATATATAGCTATATCTAGATATGCAAATATAGCTATAGATAAACATACATACACACATACACATATATATAAGTACTATCTTTGTGTATATGTGTGCATGTTTATATATAAATTACCATGGTAATTTATATATAAATATACTTATATATTTGACAAATATAACATAATTTATATATTTATATATAAAATTTATATATATAAAAGTTATATATATAATTATAAACATAATCCAAAGTCCAGATGGCACCAATGATTTGCCCAGGTTACATAATTTGTTGGTACCAGATCAGGACACTGAACCTAAATTTCCAACACTCATCTTAGTGCTTTTTCCATTGTACCATTTTGCACCAGAAATCTGGAAGTTCTTCACTTAAATCCTAAAAGTAACACATTGAGCAGATCTAGCAGAGTAAAAGTATATACACATAGAGAGACAACATCCGGATCTAACATGCTATTGAACTTCCCCTTTTAAGAGAAAAGATAAATGTACATCCTTCTAGCTACATCCTTCCAACTTGGCACACTAAGCTGGGTCTCCAGGGAGGTGACTACTTCATGTTCTGGGATATCCTGTGGGTCTGACCTCTTAAAAGCATGGTTCATGAGCCTCTACTGGTAAACTCCCCTTTAACAATCAGCCCACAAATACAATTAGCTCAAAGCAAAGGTCTTGACTAAAACAGGACAGTAAGAAAAGTATGTACAAAAAATTTCCCCTATAAACCTGGATGAGTAATTCAGCTATTAGATGCCATGGATTACGGGGCAGGAGGTAAAAAATTCCCTTCTCTTTCCTCCCCTCTGCCCCTGCAAGTGAAGAGCTTATATTCCACAAAGTTGTTCATGGCATCAATTCTTTCAAATTATGTTGACTAACTCCAGGCCTAGGAGTCTTAACTATCCTAATGGCTTCCAAGGGTGTAAACAATTTTCAGCCAGCCAATCCTAAGATCTTCTTCCAATTAAATTGTAGAGAAACATTTTTTTATATTTTGTAAGGGGACACAAGGTAACCATATTTATAGTTAAACGCCTCATTAACACGTTAATACATCATTACCTATGTTATCTACCCTTTGCTTTCTGTGATTACATTAACTTTTGGGGAAAGAATTAATCGGTTAAAGGCTAACTATTTCTCACTGCATAAATTCTTAACCCTCTCTGAGAACAAGCTCTCAAACAGAAAAAGATTAGAAATCAGCAAAATGTGAGTAAATGGTGGTGGTGGAGGGGGTCAGGGGGTGCAGGAAAACAAAAAGTATAAGATGCTGGCAATAGAAAAGGAGAATTTATTTATATTCCCCTCTCCCACCTTTTTCCCAATAAGAAATTATACTTCCATTACCTTTTTGTTCATAGCCACACCATCTTCACAGTCTAACACTGCACAGTCTACATTCAGTGATGGTACTTTCTGTATTTTCTTTTCATCATTTCCAGGAACATAGAGCACTGCCCTCCTGGGAGTGTACTTTTGATTACTGAAGAACAATAATCAATCTTGCAAATGTTCACTGCCAGAGAGAGCTTCCTGTAAGAGAAAATTTTAAGTTTAAGTTCCAAATTATGTTTAATTCACTTCAAGAAGTTAAATCTTCCTTTAAGTAAAACAGAAATCATGGGTGACTCTACTGGTGGCAAAGATCAATGAAAATTAAGAAAAATGACAACAGGAATAAGCAAGTAAGAAAATGTCAACTCAGATTGATTAAACTGTGGTTAAAAAAATATGAGCATATACAATCCTTTAAAAAAAATGATACAATGCTAGATAGTATGACTTCTGGTTAGTCTGACTCAATAGCGTACTTCATTTGGAGTTTGAAGACACCTCTACCAGGTATATGACCTTAGGCAAGTCACTTCTTTGCTCAAAGCCTCAGCTATCTTCTATGAAAAATGAGGATAATAATATTAACATTTACTACTCTAGAGGATCAAATGTAATTAAGTAATATGTATCAGTGATTTGTAAATCTTAAATTATAATATTATTGTTGGTGGTGGTGGTGGTGGTGTGCTTTTTAAGGAAAAACTATTGTTTTCAGTACCAGTATACAGTGCAGAGTATATTATAAGGAAGAAATTGGTATTAGAATGCACATTAAAATAAGCAGTACAATCCTATGATGCTAAGAAAAGAGAAACTAGAAAATAAATCATCTTGATTTCTTCAAAGGGTGGTAGTTCTAACTAGAGGAGTTTTTGATACTATTTTCCCAACCAAAAGTTTCCTTTCCCAAGTGGAAACGGCATAATCAACCAATTAAACAATGAAGTGACTTGCCCAAGGTCACATATCAAGTGTATGGGCAGACGTGTTTCATGACTCCAAGTATTTATTAAGTACTTATTACATGCCAGCAACAGTTCTTAAAGGCTGGGGATACAAAGAAAGGCAAAAACATGGTCTTATTCTCAAAGAGCTCATGTTCTAATAGGGGAGAAAACATGAAAATAACTATGTACAGATACAAGATATATACGTATATATCTACACACACACACACACATACACACACATATATATATATATATACATATATATACGTGTGCGCATATAATATATGCACTCTCAAAGGAGAAGGGCGAGTAAAGGAAGGGAAAGGAAGATAATAAATATTTTTATAATGCCTACTATGTGCCAGGCACTGTGCTAAGCACTTTATAAATATTACCTCATTTCATCCTCACAACAACCTTGTGAGGTGGGTGCTATTATTATCCCCATCTTAAAGTTGAAATTGAGGCAAACAGAGGTTAGGCAACTTGTCTAGGATCACATAGCTAGTAAGTATTTGAAGCCAGATCTGAACTTCAAACTACAGGCCCAGCGCTCTATGTACTTAGTAGCAGGGGTTGAGGTTGGGAAGGGTGAAAAGTGTAAACTAGAAAAGTCTTCTAGCAGAGAGAAAACTCTGAGCTACATTTTGAAGGAAGTCAGGAAAAATAAGAAGTGGAAGGGAGGAATGAGAATATCGCAGGTATGGGGAAAAGCAAGTTAAAATGCATGGATCTGGGAAGCAGAATGTTCTATGTGAACACCACTAGAGAATGCACTGTACAGTGCATGGAGGGAAGTATAAAAGTATAAGAAGACTAGAATCTATAAAGAGCTTTAAATACCAAACAGTGAATTTCATATTTAATCCTAGTGGTAATAGGGAGTCACTGGAGTTTATAGAGTATGTGTGTCCGAGTGTTATGATCAGAGCTGTAATTTAAGAAAATCACTTTGGCAGCTATGTAGAGGATAAATTGAAGGCAGGAGAGACTTGAGGTATGGACACCACCCAGAAAGCTATTACAATAGTAGTACACAAGTAAAGTGATAAAGGACTGGACCACTTAACCCTAGTTTCCTCTGTAAAATGGGCTGGAGAAGGAAACGGCAAATTCTCCAATATCTCTGCCAAGAAAACCCCAAAATGGGGTCACAGAGAGTTGGACACAACTGAACAACCACCACCATCATCATTATCTAAAATTATACTCTCCCCTACCCCAATTCACCCAACAAATGCCAAAACACTCTCTCAAATAGCATTTTTATCATGTAATGTCCCTGCTCAAAAAGCAATAGTAATTCACTATTGTCTATAATATGAAATAAGTATATATCTCCAATAATATCAAATAGGTTGCCTATAATACTCAATCTTCTTAGTCTGGCTACCATGACCTTTGAATTAGTGGATGACATCCCATCTGGGGTGTGCTGGAGCCAATTGCAAAATTTTCAGCTTGATCACTTATACCTCAGAAATTGGCAAATGTTACAAATAGGGGCTTGACTTTGTTGATTGTCTAGATTTAAGAAAATGATGGAGAAATGTAAACAGTGCAGATTAAACTTAAATATGTTGAACATACAATTTTTCCTCTTGCATAGTCAGATGTTAAACATTTACCAGCACACTCCCATCTCCCACTATCTCATCAACCTAATTCTTTATTGGCACCCCTACAAAGATACTGTTACAATCAAGTAAGTCATTCACTCCCTTATCTCCTTTCAGGTTCCTTATATTTCTTCCAAGTTCAGCTCAGGCAGCAAGTCCTCCTGTGGTTTTCCTCAAACCCCTAAGCTAGTAGTATTCTTTCCCCTCTCCTAGAGTTCTAGAATGCTTTGTTTGATCTCTCTGTCCCCATCACTTCCTACCTTGTACTCCATTCAGCTCTGTATATGCTATCTCCCTTCCACCTAAGCAATATGTTCTGCTTCTTAAGGGTACAAACTGGTTTGTTTTGTTTTTAATTTGCATTCCTAACACTAAGCATGGTTCCTTGCACTTAATAAATGCTAAATTGAATTGAATGCCATAATGCATTCTTTTCTTCAGTTTCTTTATTAAATATCTTTTCCCTTAACTCTAATCATGGAATCATAGAGAGCCAGAAGGGACCTGAGAGACCATTTAATCCAACCCCGACCTTTTTTTGTAGATGAGGAAATTGAGGCATAAAGAGGTTATTTGATCTGTTTAGAAACATACAACTTGTAAATCTCTGACACAAGACAGAAACCCAGATACTACTGATCCTGAGTCTAGTTCCCTATTCCCATCTTTTCCTGTCTTTATCAAGCTATAGGCTTCTTCCCAATCTCTCCCCAAAGTTTTTTTTTTTTTACTAATCCTCACCCCAGACCTCCAAAAGACTCTGCAATGTTTTTATTGGTGTTCTTAAGCCTTTTTCACAGGTTCCCTTTCCCTAGCAAGAATATACCTTCTCAAAGACAGGACCTGGGTCTTCTCTGAATTTAGGCATAGGAACTGGAAGCAGTGATCTGCGGGGCATGGTGGACAATATGCCACAATGTGGGCCAGGTGTTTCAAAATCATCATAGATATCTGACGGATGACCAACTTTATATCTAGCATGGCTAGCAGAGTGTTGCCCCAGGTCACAAGAGAGGATGGGCAGGAGAGGTGCTGCATTAAGGCACTTCTACCTAATGAAAAGATGTCCTTACAGTCATCAAATTCCCTGCACTTTGCCTTAAGTCTCCCACTGGACTAGACTGCTATGCAGTGAAACTATCATTAATTTCCATCAACATGATTACCCTCCCAACCCTATCCCCCTGTGTTTTGTCCTAGATGAAAATATTCCTAATTTCAGTTCTGGTAGTAAAACAAAGAAAGTTGCTCAAAGTAGAAACTGTGAAATAAGAGTTTCAGCATAACATTTTTTTTGGCAACTTTGTGACTCCTTGTATTAAGCTTTTCTCTCCTAGAAAGAGCCATCAAGGAAATCAGTCAATTGATGACTCAGGCCACTAATCCTCCTACAAAAAACCAATACCATGCTTGGAGCACAGTGGATGCTTTATAAATGTAGACTGCCAGTCAGATATTACTTGGGAGCTAAGCCTTAGGCATTCCTATCACATATGAGCTGCCAGAAATGAAATAAAAATTTAGTCCTTTCCAAATCAATTTAGGAGAACTTATGCAGGCTATTACTTCAATGCAATAGCAACGACATTTGATGGCAGGAGGGACCAGATAAGGGTGACAGCACTGAGACTGTTAGATAGGAATTAAATTTCTTCTTCTGTGACATTTCTTACTTTCCCTTTTCATGTTCATGGTAAAAGAGTTTTGTTTTCCCCCAGAGAATGGGGCTGGGCACTCTCTTTTTCTTTTATCAATCAAGTCTGATCCCAAGGAAAGAAAGAATTTTCCAGGTGTTTTCTTGGATACGTGACATCCCTGATTCAATTCCTCTGTTCATTGCTGCATCATGGACCTGGTTTTTAGGTTGATAATCTCAGGGATAAGAAGAGCCTAACTGCTGATTTTGAGAATCAGCCAGGGATTTGGGCGTGTGATCAAGGCCAGGCATGTGATCCTCTAGGAATCTATATATATGAACATGAGTTTGAACGTAAGTCTGTAACCAGGAGATCAATCCAACTTACCTTTCTAGACTTGTCACACACTACAGTTACGTTCCACATCGAGAAGGGTTAGGGTCAGGGTGATCTGAAAAATCTGCGTAAAATTTTTTGGCCCTCCTTTCGCACCAGAAAAAAGTCTAATTTTTTTTCTTTTTCTTTTAGGGGGTGTTTACAATACCTTATTGTAAAATTTCGGTCAAGTATTTGGTCACAAGCTCTGTGTCACCTGCTAGCCTTCATGTGTTGTCCGCAGCTTCCACAAAACTACCCCCAAATTCCCATTTAATTTCTTATGCCAACCCGCCATACATCAAAACCAAGATGGGGAAAGTCAAGATATGGAACTACTTCCTTTCACTCACTCTACAATCCAGCCAAGCTGGCTTTCTCTCTGTTCCTCATACAAGGCCCTCCATCTCCTTCCCATTCCTTTGCACCGTCTATCTCCCTTGCCTACCTCCTCTTCATCTCTGCTTCTTAGAATTCCTAGTTTCTCTCCCAGCTCAGCTGAAGCCCCACAAGAAGCCTTTCCTAAGCTGCTAATGCCTCCTCCCAATTTTCCTACGTTAAGGCATATACAAAACACTTAAAAAAATAAATACAAATTGTTGACATATTTGCTTTGTATATGTATGCTTTTATGTGTTTTTATATCTACATACTGCCTTCTCCAAAAGAATTAAGGTCCTTGAAAGCAGGAACAACTTCATTTCTATCTAAAATACTTTCAACATTTAGTCCCTGGTACTTACCAACAGTTTAACAAATGCTTCTTGATTGATTCCACAAAGAAAGAGGACAGACAAAAAATACGGGCCAAAGTCCAAGATTAGACAGTCCACTTAGTTACCAATGAGTTACCTGCTCAATGAGTTCAAGTCACCAGGCCCAGATGAACCACATCTCAGATTATTCAAAGAATGGTAAAGTATAATTACTGTAGGTGTCAAATCTCTTCAAATTATAGAGAAAAGGAAAAGTGTCGGTACTTAAGAAAGAAAAAGCCTCCTGATTTTCAATTTAAACAGTAAAAAGGAAGAGGATAGAATCTACAAAAGTCAGTGCTATTGTTATTGAGATGTTTTTCAGTCTCATCCAACTCTTTGTGACTCTTTTTGGAGTATTCTTGGTTAAGATACTGTAGTGGGTTGCCATTTCCTTTTCCAGCTCATTGTACAGATGAGGAAACTGAGGCAAACAGGGTTAAGTGACTTGCCCAGGGTCACACAGTCAGTAAGTGTCTGAGATCAGATTTTAACTTGAGTTTTCCTGACTGTAGGCCTGGCACTCTGTCTACTGTGCCACCTAGAAGACCTGTCTAGGGGTTTTCTTTAATTGCTGGTAAAATTCTGCACAAGTGGAGGACTTAGTGTGGAATTTTGCAGGTGTTACCAGACACAGTACAAGTGCTGGCTGTTTTTCTGAATATTTTTTTTCCCTTTTATATCTTTGTTAAAGGTAAAACTTTTTTTTTACCCTCTCCCCTTTTTTAGGGGAGAAGGAAGGTATATTAACTAGAAATGATTGTGCTATAAAGAAAAAAGACACATACAAAAAATAAAGATTTAAATGAAACAATTAAACAAAATCAAAGGGAGTAGGTGACACTTTATGAGCCAAAGTTGTTTTGTTAGTTTTGACAGGGATATCAGACTGGTAGATCAGGGTATTACCATGAACGCTACATGCCTAGCTTCCAATAAAGCCTTCAATGGTCTCTTCCTATCCTTGTGCACAAGATAGAAAGTTGTGGTTTAGATGATTATACAATAAGACGGATTTTGAAAAGGACAAAGGACAAATATAGTCATTAACAGGAAGACTTTAAATCAGAGGAATGTTTTATACAGAGTGACCTAGGGCAGAGGTATCAAACTCAGGCTGCAAAACTCCTGACCACCCAACCAGATTAAACCGTACTTCAGAGATGTTTAATAAAATAAATTTTAAAATATAATACAACATAGATCACGTTAATTTGTGGTTTTCTATATCGGTATAAGGGCAGCTAGCTAGGTAGTGCAGTAGACAGAGCACTGGCCCTGCAGTCAGGAAGACCTGGGTTCAAATCTGACCTCAGACACTTATAGGCAAATCATTGAACCCAGGGGTGGGGAACCTGTGGCCTCGAGGCCATATATGGCCCTCTAGGTCCTCAAGTTCGGCCCTTTGATTGAATCCAAACTTAACAGAACAAATTCCCTTAATAAAAGGATTTGTTCTGTAAAACTTGGACTCAGTTGTAAGGTCGCACTCAAGGACCTAGAAGGCCACATGTGGCCTCTAGGCTGCAGGTTCCCCAGGTTAAATGTTAACCCTTATTTATTTTAGTTCCTCATCTGTAAAATGGGGACACATTGGAGAAGGAAATGGCAAACTACTTCAGTATCTTTAACAAGAAAACTCCAAGCCTGAACAACAACAACAAAAGTCAATATGTAGCCTCTCAGGGATCCATTTCTATTTGAGTGGGACACCAGTGACCTAGGGATCCAGACATGGGATCAAGGGAATAGATTACAAAGGGATTTTGCACAAGGGAGGAATGGGTGAAGAAAGATCTATACCAAGTATATCAATGCTCAGAGAATAAGACAGGTACCCTTTATGCTATTTAATTAATTAATTAAATAATAACTTTGTGCTATTTAATATTGTTATCAATTACTTAGGTGAAGGCATATCTAGTATATTTACCAAACCCAAATTTGGAGATGACATGAAACTGAGAGGGGCATCTAACAGAGCTGAATGTTTTTTGTATCCCTAGCAGTTAACAAAGTTCTTGGCACACAGTGGTGCATAATCAGTAGTTTTTTCCATTCACTCATTCATTCATTCATTCATTCATTCACTCATTCATTCATTCAGATACCAATCAATTTAAGTACAAAGGGATGATTAGCCTTAAGAATATAAAACTTAAGAGGGACAAGATAGCTGTTTCAAGTATTTCAAGATCGGTCTTGTGGTAGGATTCTACCATTCTGCTTGGCTCAGAGGGAAAGTGTATTATGAGTGGAAAGATTTAGGCTTAAAGTAAAGAAACACTTCCTCATTGATCAGAGCAATACCAAAACTCCTGACCACCCAACCAGATTAAACCGTAATTCAGAGATGTTCAATAAAATAAATTTTTACCACCCAGCTAGGCCCTATAGAAGGTAGTTGGCTCCCACTCACTGGAGGTTTGCAAATGGAGGCTACATGACTATTTGTTAAGTCTGGCTTCTGAGAGTATTTCCAAGTAGGGGTGAGGTCAGTAGTTGGTGGAAGGTCCAAAGAACAGGTGGTTGAGTTAAAAAATAAGTCGAGTAACACTTAAGATGAACCCAGTCATGAAAAGACTGGGGTGGAGCAAGAGGGAAGCTCTGAGCCAAGGTTCCTTCCCCTGCCTCCGGCTGTTTAAAAATCTGTTCTGTGTTCACTTGTGTATAGCCCTCGATATTTGGTTTGAATACAACTGCAGTAGGTGGCAAGAAATAACTTATTTTATTTTATCTTACATATTTGAAGTTAGGGCCTCTTGGTATTCAGCATGTAAATTTATTCAAACAATATGCAAAACAAGGTCTTTGGATTATCTGGGGAAAAAAATATCTGGTAGCCTTATGGTGGGTCCTCTCTATAGGGAGTCCTTTCTGTAGTTTAGATGCCCTCTGTTGGGTCTCTGGGTCCTGTCAGCTGAAAGGGGACCCTTCCTCCTACTGTTTGCCCACACTCTTCCCTTACTTATCTCTTTCCTTCCTTCCCTGAGCCCATTTTACTGGCATCATCAGTGAAATAGTTCTATCTCACTTAATGTCATAAGTTTGGCTGTAAAGAAAATTCCTGTCAAATCAATCATTTTGCTGTTAACTGAGAATCCCTGGAATCAGAGCTGGAAAGGGCCTTAAAGGTCAGCTAGTCCAACTCTTTGCTTTTACAAATACAGAAATGAAAATGTGAGAAGTAAAGGGATTCTGAGGCAACCCAGTG